CTGCTTGATGCGTTGCCAATCGCCTTGTGCATGGTGGCCATGCCAAGGTTGGTGCGCATGTTCATGCTCTGGTCGACTTTGTTTGTGTCCTCTTGGACATGTTTATTCTTGCTGTACCAGTACTTGGAAAGCTCAGGCACGGCATGCTTCTTGGTACACTCATCCGGTTTGTCCATACCATATTCATCCCAGCACTCCTGGAGAAGAGCTTCCAACATCTTGTTTCTCTTCTTTTCTTCGGTGTGTTCCCAGGAGAAACCATTCAAAGTAAAGATTTGCCCTGGTGTCCAACCGCTCTCAACCACATCCTTCTTTTCAGCAGTGTCAGTCACTGTCTCAAGGTATTCATTGACCCATTGAAGATTCTTCAAGCCGCCCTCACTCTTGTAGCGCTCAAGCAAAGCCTTCTTTTCATCTATGGTCATTTGGTTGTAGGCCTGGCAGGAAGTACCACTTCACAAATATGTAGGATTTTGGTCTTACTCAAAAAATTTTGCATGTAACATACATATGCTTATCATATGTGTGTGTTTATTTATGGCAAGCCCTTTGAAAGGGGTCAGGTCTATGAAAATGGAAAGAATATGTTTTTTGCCATGCCCCACCTCAAGGATCGTACTTGCATCTGTCTCACCAACCTTATCCCTTCAGCATCGCGTTGAGAACTTTTCGGGTTTTGCCTTTTTGGTAGCAGCCTTTTTGTCAGCAGCCTTTTTGGGAGCAGGAGCAGCTCTTGACTTGCCCATGGTTGATGGCTGGGTTGAAAAACACTACTCAAGTTGCAGCTTGAAGCTGAATAAGCTGAATAGCAAACATTCCTTCAAAGCATTCCACACAGCAATTCAGACAAATCACACCAACAGTTTATAGATTGACTGCGAAACATGATCCTCATGTTTTTGGTAAAGTGTCTCATTCCTCCAAAGGATCAATCTACTGTTTAGGTCTGATGCCAAGCTCTCAACTCCTGAGCTGAGCCACCTAACCACCAAAGGTTTTGCAAAGGAAGGTGGGCCTCAGAAGGTGCAAATCACACCAGCAGCCTTTAACATTGACAGAAAACTGAATCTACCCAGACTTCAATAATTAGACTCCATTGTCTCTTTGAAAATGTTGATTCCTTCAAAGGATCACTCTACTGCTTTGGTGCGATGACAGGCCCTACCAAATCCTTCAAAGGATTGAGCTATTGTTTTTTCATGGTAAGCTGTATAAACCCTGAAAAGGATCAACACATCTAGTGTTTAAGTGTAATGCCAAACTCTCAACTCCTGAGCTGAGCCACCAAACCTGCAAAGGTTGAGAAGAAGGAGTTTGACCTCACCAAATGCAAATCACTTCCAGCATGGGGGGCATTGACGCTATTCATTTTAGTCTTTCTTTGGGATATGATTGAAGGCACCAGGACATGACACCAGTCCTTTCAAAAGTTATAAAAATCCTGTGAGCAGAAATTAGCCTGTGAAAATCCGGTGAAAAAGTGAAATGGCCTTTTACTTTAAAAGGAAACTACTTTTTCACGGCCTGTGAAAAAATCACTTTTTTACAGGATTTTCACAGAGTTATTGTTTCTAAAGCCTTTTTGTATGGCAAGCTATCTGAATCATTGAAAAGATACATATAAACTAATATAGTTCTGTTTGTCTACTGCCTGAGCTGAGGCGCCACACTACCAAAGGTTCTGCAGAGGGAGGCTGACCTCAGAAGAGATTGGATGAACAAATGACTCAACAGATGTCATCCTGACCCAAACAAGACCCTCATGTTTCTCTGAGTCCTTCAAAGGATTGAACTATTGTCTATTGTTCAGCTATGTGAATCCTTCAAAGGTTCTATCTACTGTCCATGACAAACTGTCTGAACAAAGGACCAATCCTTCAAAGGATTAATCTTCTAAGTCATACTGTTTCTTTTTCATTGCAAAACTGTCTGAATCCTTGAAAGGATCAACACAAGGTTTGATGCCAAATCAATCTGTCTAATCCTGGGCCACCACAGCTTCTGAAGAAGGTTTTAACCTCAGAAGATTGAGATCACATCAACAGCTTTGAAGCTGACTGGAAACAGGTTTCTCAACAGTGACTGAAACATATACATTAGCGCTTAAAATTCTTTCTCTGAGACATGTTCTGAGCCCTTCAAAGGATTGAGCTCTTTGTTATTGTTTTCATCTGTGTGAATCCTTTAAAGGATCAATCTACTGTTATGGTATGCAGCCAAACTCTGCCAAATCCTTCAAAGGATTCCACAGGCTTTTGGGCTGAGGTGGTGCCAATGCTGGTGGTGCCAATGCTGCAGGCGGCAATTGAGGCTTGGCCTTGACCATGGTGATCACTGGTCTGTTTCGCATCCAGTCAGCTTGGGCCAGAAAGAGGGCGATGAAGCGAGAAAGTTCATCCAAACTGATACCTGCTCCACGAACAGGAGGTGCCGCACTGCTACTGGAAGAGGAGCTGCTGTTTCCCATAGGAGCTACTGCAAAAGGTGGGTCCATTGATGGCTGCGTCATCCTCCACAGTGGTAGTGTGCCTTCGAAGGCTTTGCCTTGGCAGCATCTCCAGCGCCATCATCATCAGCTGGTGCTGTTGCAGCGCACTGGATGGCTTTGCTGGAGCTGGTGGAGCAATTGGTGGCTTAGCCGGAGGGGCCTTCGAAGGCTTTGCTGAGGCATCAGCATGCCCATCAGCAGCTGGAGCAGGTACAGCTCCTGCACTGGATGCCTTCGCGGCGGCGTCGACTTTTTCCCACATCCAGTGCCACTTGCCATCCTGCTTCCACCAGGTCTTCTTCCACTCCATTGGTCGACCTGTCTTGGGATGTCTTCCTTGCTTTACATCGTGCATCCACTTCTTCCTTTTCTGACCTCCTCCGGCCCTGGCTCTATAGTACTTGGTGCCACCTCGAGTGGCACCATCACCATCACCATCACCAGTATTTGGGGCCGACGCTGAGGCACCTGCTGAGGCAGGTGCAGCCACTGAAGCAGCAATGGCTTGCGCAATTTTCTTCACTCTTGCTTGTGCCTCCAATTGCCCAGGTGTGGCCACCTGATTGGCGCCAGCTGCGCCCCAGCTTTGGAGTCGGGCGCCGACCTCTTCTGCACTCATGTGCATGAAAGACAGTTGGCAATGAGGGTTGAGGCAGATGTTTTGGCGGAAGTAGCTTTGCTGTCCACAAACACTGCACAGCCTGAACCAATTGGCATTGCCTTCAGCAGTTGCAGCGGCCATTTGCTGAACATAGTCTCTGGCCAATGCGCTGCTCCAGAAGTCAGCATTGTCCTCTGGAGTCGGTTCCTCTACCACCGATGGTAAAGATCCCATGACGCAGGCTGCAGTCTGCAGCAAAAGCTCGAATGGGATGCGGTCTTTCAACTCGAGTTGCAAATTGCTGCAGTCACAAACAACTCTCCAAAGAGTTGGCAAGAAACCCAAGTCTTGCGAAAGACTCTGCTTTACAGATAAGGCTCCAAGCATGAACTCCTGCAAAGGACCATATGCTTCCTCCACAGGAATTCCACCTGCAAAGGATGGCAGCTTTTTGCCAAGCTGCTCCTCCACAGGAACCACCTCATTGCCTTACCAATCACTTGAGGAGACGGGGGTGGACGAAAGGTAGCATGTCTGCGGCTGCTGCTGCTGCTGCTGGTTGCTGCTGCTGCTTGCTGCTGCTGGTTGCTGCTGGTTGCTGCTTGCTGCTGGTTGCTGCTGCTGGTTGCTGGTTGCTGCTGCTGCTGGTTGCTGCTGCTGCTGGTTGCTGGTTGCTGCTGCTTGCTGGTTGCTGCTGCTGCTGGTTGCTGGTTGCTGCTGCTGCTGGCTGCTGGTTGTTGCTGGTTGCTGCTGCTGGTCCTTTGGGTGATCCCATGTTGCATTTTGGATCCACAGTCCTCTCCATGTTGTTGCCAGTGCTCGGGCTCAAGTTCTTCTTCTTAGTTTCACTCCACACATGTTGATGCGTGGAAGAAAACACTTTCTGCAGGAAAGATTTGACCTGCGCCCCAAAAAGAGGTTGAGAAACAACATAGCTGACCTACTGCTTGATGGCAGTATATCTGGTCAAAGGGCGCAGTCTTTGTTCCAAGATGCACAGTCTGCTGCAGCCACAGGAGTTGGAGACTTGGCAAACCCTATTAGCTGTCCTGGCAATGCTTTGCGAAATTTGCAAAGAAGACTTGTTAAGGGTAGCAAATGGCCTCCACCTATATGGAAGTGCAAGTGCCATTGGAGAACCTGAACACTCATGCTGTTTATGAGCAGCCACTGTACATGATGATGCCACACGAAATATTGCACGCAGTCAAGAAATGCATCCGTCTCGGCTTTGGGATAGATGGAGTCCTGGTTAAATGGGATCGAACTGAGAGTCTGACTGTAGTCTCACTGAATTTTCCAGGTCAAGTCGACCCAACCTTCAAGAGGTTGAGGATACCTCTGACTGTTGTGAACAAGAAATTCTGCACTCCTACAAGCTTGGACAAAGTTTTGGAATATATTTCTTGGTCCTTGGCTCTCTTGATTCAAGATGCATTTCCTTCTTCTGATCCATCTGCAGATGGAAAAGCAATCACAGGGCCTCCCTGGAGGAAGAAAAGAATTCGTCAGCCTTTGGGCTGTTATGCCATTTTGGCAGAGATTCGAGGAGATTGGGAATGCTATAAGAATGTTTTTGGGCTCCAAGGCTGGCAAGACAAATACTGTTGTTTCCGATGCTTTGTCACCAAAGACAGCGTCAAGGATGCCACTTTGACAGCTGAGTGGAGATAAAGCTCCTGGCATTTCTCTGTCGACGTTCCAAATTGATTGGCTGCATGTGGTAGACCTGGGGGTTGCTGCAGATTTTGCTGCGCCATGTTCTAGACCGGTTTCCAGGAGCCGCCCCCAAGCAGCAATGCCATTCTATGCACAGAAGCATTGTAGATTTCTACAGGAGAACTGCTCATGGCCATGAACTCAATGCCTTGACACCTGGAATGTTGAGGAAAGAGTCCAAGAAAGGAGGCCAAAGCAAGCCTAAATTGAGAGCCAATGCTGGAGAAATGAGAAGTTTGATTCCTTGGCTTCTGGAACTGGCAGAAAAACTTTGAAGAAGGAGGACTCTTGGGAGAACACTGTCCTCCAGGTTTTTATTTGGTTTGGCAATGAACGATTGTTTATCACAAAATTCTTTTTGCCAAGCTACCTTCAAGGAACTCACTAGAAAGTTCCTGCTTCTTTATCTGGCTCTAGAACAGAGCAGTCCTGAAGGGCTGTGGAAATTCAAGCCTAAATTCCATTTGCTGCAAGAGATGGCAGAGTTTGACCAAGTTCTTCCTTCTTTGTCTTGGACCTACAGGGATGAAGACTGGGGGGGCTCTGTGGCAGCTGCCTCTAAAAGGAGAGGGGGCACCAATTCTGCTGCTAGTACTTCTTGGAATGTTTTGACGAAATTCAGAGCTCACAACTTGGTGCCTGAGTGGCCCATCCAGAGGTGAAAATCATTTGTTGCAGATCAGCGATCTGGGTTTCAGGGCACCAGTTGTTTAGCAAATGAAAAAAGAGTTTGGCATCTTTGACCATTGAAGTAAAGTTTGACAGGCTTTTTTGCTAATCCTTTCAGGATTCAGGCGGAGAGAGCTTGGCGTTTAATCCTTTGGAAGGAGTTTTTAACCTCAGTTGACGCACCAGGAATCCTTTGAAGGATTTGAGGTGGGGTGTTGCCCATGAAGCCTTGATGTTTTGCATTAAGACTTTATACCAATCTTAAGAAAATCATGTGAAGGATACTGGAACCTTTCTTAAGATGTTCTTAAGCCTATGAAGAAATTCTTCAATCCTGTGAAGGATCCTGTGAAAGATTCACTTCAAGTTTTTATAAAAACAACATCTAAACACCAAAAAAAGACACCCTAAAAAGACACCTTAAATTAGCGAGTCTAGACTCCTTAATTTTCCCGAAAGCATTGCGAAGGGTTCTTCCGGAAAATCCTTTGAACACTGACACTTCGACACTTGCACTTCGACACTCACACTTACACACACACACACTGGAAGAGCGAAAGCATCCAAGTGCGAAGTATGCCAGTGTCAAAGTATGCAAGTGTAAGTATGCAAGCATGATATGCAAGGGTGAGTAGGCAAGTGTGAGTATTGAAAACTAGCACGGGAGATGTCCTAATGAAAAAACATTTCCCCACTTTATAAATTCTCTCTTAAAGGCGGAGTGCGGGGCGAACAGCGTCAACCGAAAGTGCAACCCTCTGCGGAGATCGTGCGTGTCGAGTGCGCGAAGTGCAGGCGAGAGTGCGATTTGTCCGGTGTGCGCAACCCTCTGCGGAGATCGTGCGTGTCGAGTGCGCGAAATGCAGGCGAGAGTGCGATTTGCCGGCTGTGCGCGCAACCCTCTGCGGAGATCGTGCGTGTCGAGTGCGCGAAATGCAGGCGAGAGTGCGATTTGCCGGCTGCGCGCGCAACCCTCTGCGGAGATCGTGCGTGTCGAGTGCGCGAAATGCAGGCGAGAGTGCGATGTGCCGGCTGTGCGCGCAACCCTCTGCGGAGATCGTGCGTGTCGAGTGCGCGAAATGCAGGCGAGAGTGCGATTGGTGCGGTCCGCGCGCAACCCTCTGCGGAGATCGCGCGTGTCGAGCGCGCGAAAGCAATCTGTGGAGCTGGAAGCTGAGAACTGGCGACTTTGTAGTACGCAGAGTAGCTGGGGAGCTGGAAGCTGAGAACTGGCGACTTTCTAGTACAACTTTAGTACGCGGAGCAATCTGTGGAGCTGGGAGCTGAGAACTGGCGACTTTGTAGTACAACTTTAGTACGCAGAGTATCTGGAGAGCTGGAAGATGAGCACTGGCGACTTTGTAGTACAACTTTAGTACACGGAGTAGCTGGGGAGCTGGAAGCTGAGAACTGGCGACTTTCTAGTACAACTTTAGTACGCGGAGAAATCTGTGGAGCTGGGAGCTGAGAACTGGCGACTTTGTAGTACAACTTTAGTACGCGGAGTAGCAGGGGAGCTGGAAGCTGAGAACTGGCGGCTTTCTAGTACAACTTTAGTACGCGGAGCAATCTGTGGAGCTGGAAGCTGAGAACTGGCGACTTTGTAGTACAACTTTAGTACGCGGAGTAGCTGTGGAGCTGGAAGCTGAGAACTGGTGAGTTTCTAGTACAACTTTAGTACGCGGAGCAATCTGTGGAGCTGGAAGCTGAGAACTGAGAACTGGCGACTTTGTAGTGCAACTTTAGTACGCGGAGTAGCTGGGGAGCTGGAAGCTGAGAACTGGCAACTTTCTAGTACAACTTGAGTAGGCGGAGATCGTGCGTGTCGAGTGCGCGATGAGCTGGGCTGTCACCGCTTGGCCGCCGGTGGGGGGTTTGGGAGGCCGCATCGCACACAGACACCCACACACTCCCTCAACTTCCACGAACACACACATACGCAGACTCGTTTCCACACGGACATAGACACACGCACAGAAACCCACACACTACCTCAACTCACTCGACTTCGTTTAGTTTCGTGTTTCGTTTCGCGTTTCGTTTCGTTTCGCGTTTCGTTTCGTTTCGTTTCGCCGAATCAACTCCACTCCACCTATGTCGATAACCTAGATCATCGAACATCATGATGGGCACCTTTTATCTCTCCACTTTGGGCACGCTCTCCGCAACCGAGAATCTCCATGACCCGTTCACGTCACATGTTTCACACATGTTCATGCCGTGTGGACATCTAGCTGAAGCCACTAAGCTACTAGCTACTAGCAGGAAACCTACGTAACACTTCACACCGCACACTTACCGGATAACTCACACTCTGACTTCCTACATGATGAAAAATGCTTTCGGGCCACTCGTCGTCTAGTTTTATATCAGACTCCTTAAATAAGGGGTCCAACTAAATAAGGGGTATTGGAGGGTCAGGGAAGAACCTTCCAATTAGTGGGTCATGCTGCAAGATACCCCAGAAGGAGCCCCCTTAACGGAAGAAGAATCCGCCAAATGAAAGACTACGGCTTCAAGATCGACGTGATCAAGTTCGTCAATGAGCGACTTCCGATGGTGGACATTCCGTCCCGGAGAAAGAAGGAGAAAGAAAGCCCGGTGACCGAAGAAGAGAGGAAGCAGACAAGGATGATACACGGCGCCTTGAACTGGATCTCCAAAGAAGGACGACCAGATGCCGCTGGGGTTGCAAGTCTTATGTCCTCGAGGCTGAACAGGATGGTAGTTGAAGATCTCATCAGCCTCAATGAGGCAGTCAAGGAGATCAAAAGTCATGCTGACTTGACCATCTCCATTCAACCCCTGTCCAAGATGAAGTTGGCTGTCGTCACAGACGCCTCTTTTGGAAACCACGGTTTCCACAGCCAAGGAGGACAGATGATTCTGAGCCATGAAGATGGCCTAAAGGATGCCAATGAAGTCACCGCGAATTTGCTGTGGTGGCGCAGTGGAAAAAATTGAGAGAGAAGGCAATTCAACACTTAGTCGCTGAGACTCAGAGTTTGAGCCGTGGACTCGGAGATCTCATGTGGATGCTGTTGCTTTTCCGAGAGCTCGAAGAACCATCGCTTCACCTGAGGAATTGGGCTCACAACTTATCCAATGAAAAGATCTTAGCCCTCGCTTCGAATCATAGCGATGATCGTCTGAAGCGGAGTCTTGCCGTTGTCGATGCCAAGTCCCTCTACGACTATATTTGGCTCGTGAGACCCTTGCAGGTCAAGATCGGAGAACTGCCATGGAGGTTCAGATAGTGAGAGAGGAGCTAGATTCCATAGGGGGGCAGATCCGATGGGTGGATCATCCATCCATGGTCGCTGATGTTTTGAGTATAAGGTGAAAGGAACCAAGTCTGCCTTTTTGAAGCTGTTAGAGACCGGGCGCTTTTCCATTCAGGCCGAGAAGGACCTGATGGCGACCCGAGAAGATGCGAAGAGCCACGGACGAACGTCCTCAGATTTGAGGAAGAAGGGAAAAGGAGCTCAGGCCAACAAGAATTTGGGAGCCGTCAAATGTTTTTCGTTCGCGAACCATGCTTTGACCTGAGCTCCGCGGAACCTTTCGGTTTGTCCTAGTGGCCCGTACGACCCCGACTGTTTGCTTTTGATGGAAAACCCTTCATGTGTTTGAGCCCGTTGATCGTGCGGTGCACAGCTTCCACCCAGGGGCACCCTTTTTGCTGGTCGCTCTAAGAGCTGTCCCACAAGAGTGTCCCAAAAAAGTGTCCGACAAGAATTTGCCACAAGAGTGTCCCACAAGAGATCTAAGGGGTCATGGTATGGCATAAACCGTTTTATGAGATGGCCCCTTGAGGGGGTCTGAGGGTGATTTTATAGAGAACTGGGTGCTTGATATGTACAGTCATTGATTTTTGAACACGTCCGCAGATGGCTCAGTTCCAAGTGCCTACAAATGTGTGACCAGAAGCATAGCTAGCTGGCTGTGAAGCCGGCGAGTGGGACCGGGAATGTAGATGCTAGAATGTTGAGCGTATATTCAGTGTCATTGAGTCAAGTTTTGGAGGTCTGGTCTAGTGAAAATATAGGAGTTCAGCCGTGGTGGGGTCACACCAAATTATGTCCCTTTGCTGGTGGGTTTCACCATTTTATAGCTATAAAATCTGTGGCAGGACCCTACCCGGGATTGACGCTGGGATCACAAGAGTGTTCTACAACCGTGTGCGACAAAAGTGTCGCAGAGTGTTGTTGGGGTCTGGGAGTTTGCTTCCGTATACGTGTGTGAATTGGGTTCGTAGGCAACGTTTTGTTGTTTCAATTGATCTCGTATTGATTGAATTCTAGCTGTCAACGAACACAGGAGCCAAACATTGAAGCTGCATCGCACAATGTCCCGGACAGTTGGATTGCCGCTCTCCAAGCGAATGAGCTTTTGTTTGCCGTCATTTTGGAGTATTTTTTGTTTTACAGACGCTACCCCCAGGTGGGTGTTGGGACCTGAGGTAAGCCAGGTTGTCGGTTGTCGAGGTTCAAGGCTTCAGACAATCTGAATTAAACACATGGTTTGACGATTCAACACATAAGTGTCCACAATTCCAGTCGTTTTCACTTTACTGCAAAACTGCTGCAAATCTAAATGCCAGAGCCTCACAAAAGCTAACAAACAGTAGCGCGAAAACAGGAAACTAGTTTGGCACAGGGTCCGGCGCACCTTTGATTCCAGGTTGGTAACAAACACCTGAAGACTGTTGTCATTTTAGAGTCTAAGTTAAGCCAAGATCTGCTCAAATCCAGTGGTGTTTGGCCGGTGACCAAAAACCTTATAGATGGGTGCACTCCACACACGAGCTTTGATACTTAGAATGTGGGGTAAAAATAATTACTTGACTCTTTCAAAGCAATGCTTGCTACATCTTGCAACTGATTTATTGGTTGGTTCTCATCTCAAAAATAACGAAAATGAAAAGCGGGCTTGGAGTAGAGAGACAAGGGGGAACGAGACCTCATTAAACTCCCGGAGCTTTACGCGCAAGTGAGGAATCGTCCTAGCGAAAGCACGTTGTGCCAGCGAAGTTCAGAAAAGTGCAGGGTGAGGTGTTAAAGTCAGCAAAGAGCGCTACTAGTAATAAGGTGCATCGCTACTAGTAACAAGGGCATGGCTACTAGTAACAAGGAAAAAATGGAGGAACCAAGGAAACAGAGCAGATGACCCGAGCAGAAACGAAAACGCCACTTCGTCCTTGGTGCCAGCTTCCAGTCGCTTACTAAGCTTACCTCTTACTGCCATTATGTGCTGTATTCAGCCTGTCTTCAGTGCTGAAGGCATTGACACCTTCTTGCTTAAAGTCACAATCAAAAGATGTCAAAAGCGAATGGCAATAGATGGACTTGTGGTGCGTTTCCCTGGTGTATCATGGTGTATCCCTGATTTTTGGCAATGGCCTTGGCCAAGGATGTGAGATCTCCAAAGCTCTCGCGGCATGGACACAAGGAATTGAGCAAGTCATCCACCAAATGATTAACAAATGCAATGACTGACACAGTGGCTCTCATGGCAACGTCGGTGATGTAGCGATTTGGCCAGAGGACCATTCCACGCAGCAAAAGGAGGTTCCTGCACAGGAGGCCTTTCTTATTTTTTCTTTTCATTTGTTTGCTGAGATTGCAGGTTTCTGGATCAAGCAAATCCTCGTTAAATTTTTGTGCAGGCCACACATGAAGCTTCGCATGAGGTGCAAGCTGAAGATGTGTTGGATGGAGTGGAGGTCCGGCCCCCCCCACAGACACACACACACACACGGATGCAATAGAGACATGCTTAGGCAATTTTATACATGTCCTACTTGTACACGGCTGTTGAATCGCCAAAGGAGATGATCGATGCCGATGCTGAGCCCCAGCCAGAAGTCGAAGTGACCTGGCTTGGCAGGGACGATGGATCTCCTTTTCACATGCGAATTCTATATACAAAGCTCTCTGGATGTCCTTCTTCTAATTCCTAGCTTTTGTGTTTATTTTGTTTATTTTCAAAAAATAGATGCCTTTTTGATTCTTTTTGATCTCTTTCTCGAGAGTATGAGCTCTTGCCATCGCTTATCACTCTCAATCCTTTTTAAAGCCTAGGAAGAACCCACGGTTGCTGAGTCTCCAGAGAAGGCAGAGAAGGCCTTTACGTTTTTCTCGGTGCCATGGACGATGTGGTGCAATAGCTGCCTCAAGCTTTGGATGTTCTACATTTGAATTGAAACCGTGTGCATGCATTGGGGATGTTGTTGGACGCCTGATAGGACAGCCAACACTCTCGCGTCCTTCTGAAGGAGAATGAAGACGATGCGGCAACGGGTCAGCATTGATTCATTCATCGTCTTTGCCGCATGAACCGGCCAAACGAAGTGTCCTTTTGGCGTTTGATACGCGTTTGCTCTACTTTTCCACACATTGTTCGGGTCACTGCACCCGTCCCTGGTCCCCTTTGTTCATGATTTGCCTTTGGTAAGAGAGTGTCATGAAGTGAGAGAGATTCGACCCCGGTACTCGCAGTTTCCCAAAGAGTTCCGCCTTCTGCCACAGAGGACCAACGGAAGACCCATTCAGATCAGTTTTTCCCAGCCGTACCCCGCACCAACATTGGTCATATGCATGCAGCGTTGGCGTAGCCAACAGAATCCGCGGCACAATTACTTGAATATCATAAAGTTCGAGTAAAGGTTGGATTATATAGTTGTGAATCTTGAGCAACAGTTTCTGTTTCAGTGTAGTCATAACCTCCTGAGATATGTTCAAAAGTGTGCTTTTTGGCGTAATGCAGCCAGGTTTGTCTCGGGCGACCGGCTGGTTTTTTTGTTCTATAAGAAACTCAATTGGCTAGTCCTGAGTACATGACCCAATAATTTAGATCTTCTACGGAAAGATTGGGTATGCCAGCGCTGTACATCTATTCAGAACTTCTTTGTTTGTGTTTCTTCTGTCTATCAATGTTGACGGAACATGACGGAACCTTGAGGATTCTCCTCAAGCCCCGTAGTTGGAAGGCATCAGTTTTCTTCAGCATGGCATCGTGAGGTGTATAGTTTCAAGCCCACATATGCCCATATAACAAATTTGATCGGACAACAGCATCAAAAACAAGCAGTTGCCATATGATGTTTGCATTTGTTGCCTTCCAGTATGGCAGCAATTTGAACCAGGTCTGTCTTACTTCTTGCGTTTTGTTCAAGATTTCATGTCAAATGTTTGCTTCCTTGTTGATGTCGTTTCCTAAATAAGTCGCTTCCAACTTCTTTGGATTTGCAACAAGGACCACACCATCATTGTTCATTTGTATCGCCACACACTTGTGTTTTTTTAGTCGCAGTCCGGGTATTTGCAGGAGATAGTTTCAGTGAGCTTTAACAACTCATTTAATGCCCTGTTGTCAGTGGAAAAAAGGATGGTATCATCTGCATAGTAAACTAGATCAAAATCCAGATTTGGGACTCTGCCATTGTGTACCCATCGACTGATTTAGGAGCGAATCTCAAAATCCACGCAAGACATCGCAATAACAAACAGATACAGTAAGGGGAAAGGGGGCACCCTTGCCTGATGCCATAAGATTGGCATTTGACCTGGGATGATCCAAACACAGCTTCACGAAACATGTTGGCTTTTTATGGCAGTCTCGAATGATATCACAATAATGTGTTGACAAAGCTCTGTTTTAAGCGACGATTAGTTCATCGTGTTGTACTTTATCGAAAGCTGTTTCCCAATCTAAAAGGGCTAGACTTAATCGGGCACCTTTTGACTCGGCGTAGTCTTGGAGTCTGGGAATGATCATGATACATATGGCATGGGATGTTGATCTTTGAGGCCGAAATCCGTATTGTGTATTGGATAAAGCATCGTTAATGTCGGTATCTCCTTGTTTGACGAGGGGGGGCGACCCTCACAAGAAAAAGCCGCTTCCTTACTTTGCCACCAGCTGTTGATGAGGCTTAACAGGAACTGTCGGTTGTCGCGATTTACCCATTTCATCAATTTCATTTGCAGGCCATGTGAGCCCGGTTGTTTATTATCTTTACATGACTTTAATGCTGCATTCAACTCCTTAAGAGTGAATACACTTTCATAACTTTTGCCCCGATATTCAATAAGATTGGCGCCGCATCCGGCATTCCTTTGACTCGAGAAAATTGGCAATGGTCTGCGCCCTCTCTATTATAGGAACATATTTTCCATGTTCGTTTTTCATCTGAACGCAGTAACATATTGCGGTGTAAATTAGTTGTTAAACCTTTTACTGCCTTCCACAACCCTTTCTGATTCTTGTGTGGATCTTGAGGGTTTTCATTAAACTGCTCAATCAGATGATTGCTACGGTCTTTACGCGCCATTTTGCAGATTTCCTTGTTTAATTGTCATACCTCTTGCGAGGACGCTCCGTTCTTCCTAAGTTTTTTTTTGCAATTTTTGGCCCATGTGTTTCTTGAAATATGCGATTTGCTTCTTTTCTATTGGTATAGCTTCCAAATTGTTTTCAGCAGTGCACAAGATACCTTCAACAGACTTGTTAAGGCACAAAGACTGCTGTGACAAAGATTGAACACATTGGGAGTTGAAACAGTTCCACTGAGCTATATATATATATATATAGTAGGTTTCAGGAACTTCTAGACGCCTTGGGCTCTTGCACGCGCTTGTTGGGTTTCATCTCGAATTGCGCTTCTCCTACTCAAAAGGAATGCCCCCTGTGCCGGCTTTGGGCATTTGTGCATGCAGTTTTCCATGTCGAATTTGTCAGCCAGTAGTAGATTTGTGCATATCCTTCAGCATCAAAAGGGGACTCAAAATCAGAATCAGTTATTTTCCTTTGTACTTATCAATCTATCTAATGGTTTCAAAGAACTGGCTGTTAAGGATCTTGAGATGATGCATTTTGCACCAGCCCAAGAAAAGTGCCCTGCTTTCTTTGGTTTGGTCACTCATGTTGTTAATGTATTCCATTCCTCTCCCAACTATGTACAGACCACAAACAGCAGTGTCAACTTCGCGTACGTACGCAATGGATCCTAGCGTTAAAGTCACCACCAATGATACACCTTCCATGAGAGGATGTAATTTCATCAGGTAAATGTTAATAAAAAATGTGTGCTTGTCCTTGGTTGAACGGCCACTGTGTGGGGCATGTGCGCATATGATTGTAACATCAACCCCGTGACATGAACAAGTAATGGACACAATGTGGCCATTTCTTTGGGGTACGTGCGCAATGGAGTTTAAGAGGGCATTCTCTACTACAATGCCTGCCCCCGCATGCTCAAAATCTGCGGCGCGCCGATGGTTGCTCCCTGAGCTTCTATGGTGCGCTCACCTGAGGGCACTATTCTCTTGTTCTGCGTTCCTGGTCTCGAATCTTGGGATCGATATGTGTTGAACAAAGCAGTATCACCCGCTAGCACCCTCCCCCCCGTTGGACCTGAAGTGGTTCATGTTCGGACTCCTGGACTTCAGAAATTACAACAGTGGTTCAAATTTCAAACCACACGATGCTTGAACAAGTAATTCGATATTGTATTTGCAACAGTTCTGAATGCCTCCAGAGCAGAATATCTCTCCCGTCTGACTTTGTGATACCAAGTTGAAAGGGTCAGATTCTGAAGTGAAGGTTTGGTCACTCCACAACACAACACATCAGCTGCTGGACGTTTGTAGGTTGATAAAACCTCTAGGGGCGGAGGCTTTAGAAGAGTCTGACAGGTTCCGGATCAAAATTCTGCAGAGGTTTCAGATCAGCGTGGTGTTGGTTTTTGGGGTCAAGTCACGATTGAGACATATGAACTATTAAGTGGCCCGGAAGCTGGACCATGAGCCTGGTCATTGAAACATGATAGGCTGCGCTCTAGAGTTTTGGCTCTTGCGTTTGGAAAAGAAAAGGATGGGATGTTTGAATCCAAAAGGTCAGGAATACAGATGAAGGTTCTGGAAGGCTTTGGCTCCAAATTCAGTCTCTGATGTTTCCAGATGAAGGTTCAACAAACTTCAGAGTTTTCCAGTCCGGAGCTCCAGTGCTTCAGCACCCTTCCAAGTTGGTTTCAGAAGGTCGCAAGCGGAATGAATCAGATGAGTGAAGTGGAGAGGTCTTGTGCAGCCTAGCATTCCAGAGAGTTTCAGGTAGGTTCCACAGGCAGACTCCAGGACGTTCCGGGTTTCAGAAAGATTCGCGAAGGGCTCAATTCCAAGTGCGCGCAAGTTTTGCGATGCTTTGGGTCCCTGAAGGTTCCAACAGGTCCAGCCACATTCAAGGAATTCAGAGTATGAGGCTACAGAAGAATTTGCTTCCGTTAAACATCTAGGAACCACATGAAGAAGCCCGAGCTATCCTGCATCCGGTGGCTAGTAGCTTACTCAGCTTAGCCCTATAAAGAAAAGGCATGTTGCACACCAGGTTCCCAAAGTTGCAAGCAAGGTTCCAGGTTGGACAGGTTCCGAGAAAAAAAAAAACTTTCCGAGGTTCCGACTTTCAGTGAAGATCAACCAAGTGTTCCAGCTTTCGGGGAGTTCACGCTGCACTAGATTCTGGTTGATCTAAGATTCCTTTGCAACCGAAAACAGCTTTGATCATTATTGCTCTTGGCGACACTTGTTTTGCATTTGCCTTTGTTCCTGCATGCTGCCTCCCAGGCCACAGAAGGGCATCAAGAAGCTGTCAACAGAGATGAAGAAGTGCACAAGGTCTCAACTTGTGGCTGGCCTTAGGATGAAAGACGAAAGACGATGTGCTAAGCTCCAATGTTCTAGCAGGTGGCACCAGAGAAGACCACAAGTCCAACTGATTCGCTTATATAAGTTGTGCAGCCAGAACATGCTGTTGTGCCAAGTCTTGGGTGCTGCGTGTGCAATTGCTAAGGGTGCCCTTCCCCTTCGGGTAGGTCCTTTTCAGTTAAGGTGCTAAACATTCAGTTGGAGAAAATTCTGCCCTTGTACTCCCTGCTGGCCATCCGGCATGTATATTTCTTTGCGCAACTCCACCCCTCCGACATTTGTGGATGTTTAACTTGGACCCGAGCTTCAAAAAACACAACTTCAGGTCGCTTGCAAACCCTTAAGAGGTCAATTTCCCAGACACGACTTGTCTGGGACTGACATCATTGCCGATCAAACCAGGGGTAGTTGATTGAAAAGAGATCGTTCCAGGGGCGGCATATCTTCCAGTCCCAGGTCGTGTCTGGCTTTAAGGCGTTCGAGTTCAACCTTCTTGCCATGCATGTTTCATTGCAGCGCTCCCTAAAGTGAGCTGAAGAAACGAAGCCAGGTTTGCGTAATGGGCAAGTGTTCCCGCAAGTGCCTCGTGTCAAAAGTGCGCAGGAGCCAGAGGAGATGCCACAAGCTCCAAGCGCCGAGATGGCTTTGCCACAAGAGGAGATGTCAAAGGTGGCAAACCCTACGGACGAAATCCAGGAAAGTCTGGAGGAGCCTCAGGAGCAGGTTCAGGAGCTGTCTGGAGGTGCTGAGGCGCCACAGGCAGTGCATCTTGAGAGGTCTGAAGTGGCAGAGCCTCTGGTAGAGCCTAAGATGCCCCAAGCCAGCGAGGCAGGTTTAGCATGCGTTGCAGTGGCGCTGCTGCAAAATCTCTGTTTTCCTGCACAGGTCGTGACATATGTAGCCAAAGCACAACAGGCCACCCACCACAATTGTGTTGCAACTGTTGAGGTGATATTACTATGTTTTCCGAGTGTCGCAAGAGCTCTATTTGCCAGGAAGCGCCAAAGCAGCGTCGAAGATCGCAAAAGGCAGGGTGAACCAAGTAGCATGAGATATAGATAAGATTTTGAATTATATACTATGGTGTCGTAAACATTTGTAAGCCATAGTAAATATATATATATATATATGAGCAACAACTTTTATTTAGGCTTTACTAAAGACAGTAGTCTATGGCATGCTCTATGTGCTTGTCTATCGTCAGTATTCGCTTGCGAACGAGATAGGGTCCCCACATAAACGAGCACTAAAGTAGTCTGAATGAGATAGTGTGATTTGCTACTAAAGTAGTCTGAACGAGATACTGTGACATGGCCTTCTACTTAAGTAGTCTGAACGAGATAGGGCCCCCACATAATAGATAGTGTATTTGAGTTGAGTACCAAAAAAATGACGCTGTGGCACACACACACACATGACTTTCGACCCGAGTTTAAAGAAGAACACCCCTTTGAATCCCGCAGCTTCTCGGCTTAGCGGGTGGGTACATGGCACACGAGTTTGAGAGCCTCCCGGGCGAGGGAGAAGTTGAACAGAAGAAGGTGGTGAAAGAGGAGCCCAAGCCCGACGAGGAGAAAGCCCAAGCAGATCAAGGAGGTGCCCAGTTGTTGTTCCTCAGAAGGCTGACGCCGCCAGTGCCAGTGGAGATCGCCCGGAGGACAGCAAGGAGCAGGTTGTGAGGAGCTCAGGTGAAGGTGTTTCGACTGCAGGGGAAGTCGACTCTAGCAAAAAGGAGAAAAAGAGGAGCTCACGAGATCGAGAACGACGCCGCCGAAGGGAGAAGGAGCAGGACGCCAGAGAGAGAGAGAGAGAGAGAGAGCAGCGCCCCGCTCCCGTAGTCGCCAGCGAGATCGACGCCGACGCAAGTCTAGCCAAGCCAGGAGCCCAGTTGAAGGGCGTCGTACAAGCCAGTCCAACTCCCGCAGAGCAAAGGGGGAGAGCCCCGACCCCCCGCGCAAAGTCACCATCACCCCGAGGATCATTGCCATCCCGTCCGTCCGGCCTCACCAACGCACAAGGCGTGCCATTCCCCCGCCTCCAAAGCCGCTCGCAAGGATGGTCGCGAGGTGCCACGATTCGCGGGCCAAAGCTACTCCCATTGTGGTTGTAAATGCGCCCGGAAGTACTGAGCCACGGGAGCCACTGCTCCCTCTGCAACCGGCCGGTTCACGTAGCCGTGGGCTGTCATCATCTGTTCTTGCATGTCCAAAATCGCTGCGTTGGTCAATGCTCCTGGCACGCGACGCCACAGGCGTAGTGACCGTCTTTCGCTCTCGAACAGTTCTGAGGTCGCGATGTGCTTCTCCCCCAAACTCGAACTGTCGCTTGACTCCCCCGATTCGTCCCCTGAAGACTCCTTGCTCCGGGAGCGGGAGCCTCTCTTTTTCTTCTTTTTGCCCTTTCTGATCTTTCGGGCCTTCCTCATGAGCTCGTGCCTCACGTTGGCATCGGGGTCCAGCGCCGTGTTCTTGAAGACGTCCTTGACGGGGGCCTCCAGCTGGACCTTTACCTTGGCCTTTCTCTTCTTTTCTTTTTTTCGCTGCCTTCTCTTCCACGGCTTCCTCCCTCCGAGCGGGAGCCTCTGCAGCCTTGGGAGAGTCTCTTCTCGAATCCGACGGAGAGGATCGTCTTCTCTGGCGCCTGCGCCCTTGCGGGGAACGTCTCCACCACTCTTCTGCTGGCTCGCAACAGAGATTCGCTCTGCGTCCCTGTGACCCATAGTCGCCGTGTCGCATCTCCCTCGTTGACCACGACTCCACGCGTCTCCCCCGCGACCAAAACGGGAGACTCCCAATATAGCGACCCTCCAGCACCACTCTCTGCCTCAAGTTGAGCGCACGGCGCCTCGCCCCTGGCAGGCCTGCGAAGAGCTTCCACCCTCGGTCCTCGAAGGGCTCCTTCTCGACGCTCCAAGGGTGCTGCTGCTGGCCTTCGACGTGGTGGCATGCTTTTCAGTGGTAGCCACGCTCGTACTCCCTCCACAGGCGAAAGTTGGTGTTGCCTTTGTTGGAGGGGTTCACGATAGGCCCAAGACTTCGACCGCACGTCAGTCTCTTCCCAGCCGGAGTAACCCGGGGGCGGATGGTCTGGTTCACGGGGTGTCCTGACAGGCGCATCGCGGCCGCTTTAGATGTGGCGAGCCAACGGCTCAAGGCCCTAGAGGCCATGGCCAGGGGAACGGCCATAGAGGTCGCCCGCCGGCTAGAGCTTGTAGCCGCAGAAGACAACGGCACGTCGTCAGCCGCATGGCCAGGTTGAAGCTTACCCAATAGACTGATCTATCCTATTTCCTTCCTTTAGGCTCGATCCTAGGAATGTGACTATTTTTAAAGAATATATGTATACATATATTGAATAGTGACTATTATAGTCAGTTTTTCAAAAAAATCAACAAAAATCCTAGAAATAGTCTCATGAAATAAGACATATATCTTGTTTTTGCTGACTAACTATTTTCTACAGATCTGACGAGAAGTCCTAGAAAATAGTTAAATTGAAATATATATATTTTTAAGAAATATATATATTCCTTAAAAATAGTCAAAACTGAAACTTCGACCAAACTTCGACCAAACTTCGACACCCACTGTTGTTGCAAAAGCTTGACATACGCTAATTTTCTCTTCTAGAACACACATCTGATATATTGAAAAGCTAGAACAAAGTGGAAACAACGTGCCTCTCATGGTCTCTCGAAATGCCTCTCACCGTTTGGTTCTGAAAATAGCCGTACCAGGAAATGTGTTGCAAAAGTATGAGGCGGTGACAGAAAAAGAGCAGGGGAATACGCGGAACATGTGTCGACAAGGTCAGTTTGCACTAAATAGTGGTTGATTATATCAATACCCGAAACCTTCTTGCTGCTTTTGTTGATGTCATCCTCTGTCTGCGTCGCAGCAGCCCCTTTTCGTATATACCGGTGGCGCACCTTTGTGGATCAACTATATTCACAAGGTTGTTACAGCCCAACACACTGCTCTTCAAAAAGGAAATGCAAAGCCAAACGGTAATGGCGGCAAAGCTTGACAGACTGTTGGGGAACTTTGCTGCCCCGAGTGCATGTTTGGGCTATGGACTGCATCTTTTGCGTTTGGTCTTCTCCGGCGAACACCCACACAACTCTAGGGGAAATGCATTTTGACATAATGGCCAATTCTTGTACCATATGACATTTGCTCGTAATGTCAAAGTATTTGATGTCCTCCTGTAAGTAATGCTCTGCAATTTGGGTCAGGAGCCAGAGCATCTGAGAGCAAGCCTCTTCAAATCTTTGCGCAATGCCTTGGGGGGAAACTGAACTCCTCCTTGTACTCGGTAATTGTGTCCTCTAGTTCCACGTTCAGCTGCAACATGAGCAAAAAATTTTTGCGCAAAGAAAGATGCACATTCATCTCCTTTGACCAGAGCGACAGCAAAGCCTTCCCGAAGTGTCGAATCTCAGAACCCTTGCCTCTCAATTTCGGAAACTTTCCTGCAGCGCGCAGGAACATTGACAGCCTGTTCATATACCTGAAAGGAGTGGGGGTTTGGTTGTCTTTGAAGAACTGCCTGAGATAGGCCCATGCAGTTTGCAGGTTCTGTTCCGCTGACGGAAGGAGGTTGCGGGGTGGCGCTGGCGCCTCAACGTGCTGGAACTACGGGCAATTCTCGCAACGCTGCGTTGGTTGGTTGCACGTCACGGAGTTCATAGCCGACGTTTCATGCGTTTGACTGACAGTTTGGTTTGCTTGCGCAGCTTGTCGCGTGGACGGGCATCGTCCAGCATGTTTTGAAGCGTGTCAATTCCCTGATCCTTGCTGCGGACCTACACCCGGTGTGGACTGCTCAAAACCCCGCTGCCAGCCGGCGTCCACTTCATCGAAAATGGGGAAAGTGAAGCAACATTTGGAAGGCCACAGCAAGGAAAACAGGGCGAAAAGTCGACAAGCTTTAGGTACGTTGAGACAGCTCACAGTGCAACCGCAAACTCGCAAACGCTACAGTCTGGCAAAGAACAAATTCTATGACTATGCCCACTCGAACAACAGCCTGACCATCCCCGCCAACGTCACCGCTTTCGACGACATGTTGGCCGACTACATTGAATACTTGTGGAGCGTGGGGGAGGGGCGCGCCCTTGCAAGTGCCGCGTTTCAGGACACTGAACCAAGATTGAAAGGCAAGCTCCAAGTTACATGGCGTCTCTTGAAGACGTGGCACGTAAATGAGATCCCGAGTGCCTCTTTGCCATGTTGGGATGGTGCTTGTTCCACAAGGAATACGCCTTTGGTTTGAGCCTTCTGCTTGGATTTTATGGATTGCTGCGCGCGGGGGGAGATCGTTTGTATAACCATCACATTCTGATGACATCTCCCGACAAGCCTGCCGTGATCTCATTAGGTTTGACCAAATCTGGCAGGTCACGTGTGCTCTGCAATGGCTTTGGGCGTGGAAGCACACCTCTCCTGCACACAGCCCTCTCACCCCCAAGCCACACCAATGGCGCAAAACCTTCAGCAAATGTATTAAGGCGTTGAACCTCGAGGAATTCGAGTTCCGCCCTTATAGTTTAAGGAGGGGAGGCGCAACATGTTGGTTTGGTAGGCATGGATCCTTGGATAGGATCATAGTCCTCGGAAGGTGGGCCGCCGTGAGAACGGCACGCCTGTACATAAATGAGGGCCTTGCCTTGCTAGCAAACTTGAAAGCTCCCAAGAAATCAATACTTCCCTATGTCCGTACGTTTCACCAGCATGACCTTTCGACGCTGCCTCGAACGCTTGAGCGCGCTAAAGCAGTTTAGGGGAAGGTGGAATAAGGGGGGTACTGTGTGTGTGTGTGGAGGTAATTCGTTGTTCCCGTGTCGTTGAGAGAAAGACCAGTTCTACCTGGGCCCAGGGGTCCTGGTTTGGCAGGATGCCTGGGGGGTAGGAGGGGCAAGCATCTTTTCCTTGGTCTGGCAGGAAAGATGTTTGCTGCGCCTCAGAGTGGGAATATCGGTGAAGAAGAGTCTTTCTCAACCAATACTGTTCTCTTTTAACATTTTTGACACACTACTGCATGCGCGGGTGAAAAGACAGCGGGTGTAAGTTTTTATATATATAGCAATACAATAGGTGTAGACATGTGATCTACAATAGTTTTTATGAACGTAGTTGGGTGGCTCAGTTTATATGAGTTTCCTCTCAATTGGCCAATTGAGTCAAGGCTAGAGATGCTGCCGCTGCAAAGGTCGAGGGCCAGGCTCACTGCCAAGGGAGCTCCTAGTAGCGTCCTTGCTCCTAGTAGTGAGGCCAGGAGCTCCTAGTAGCGTCCTTGGCCATATTGAGTCATTGAGTTCATTTGCAGAATGATCGAGTTGCCAAAGTGCTGTCAATCCTGGTGGCTTGCTTCACTGGCCAGATGTTCACAGACTCAAATTCTCGGCAAAACTCTGTTCTGACATGTTCTGACTGTCAGATGCCAAGACGGCGTTCCAAGACTAAGAAGGATGGGTGTTTTCCGGATCTCTGATCCATGAGTCGAATTTAGGCGTGCCTCCAAATGCGGGCACCGCATTCAGTACTGATTCAGTAACCTTTGTTCACGTTGTACTGCATTCAATATTATACCGTTGAACATTCTTGAATTACCTACCTATCAACTCTGTGGATACCTTCGAAGCTGAGCAGAACAACAAAAAAACGAAGCTGCTATCAGATATCAGTCGTGCGACTGAACTAGTCTCTATTGCTGACTCTTCAGTGGTGTGGCTACTGCCCCAGGACTTCAAACCGCCTGTGTTGCAGGCTTCCGCCCCTTCTCTAAAAAGTCTGTGAGATGACAAAACAACTCGAGCACATGCAGAATTTTCGGAGTTCAATGAACCGATCAGCGGCCACCACTCTATAAGCTGAACTCTTGCAGCTGAGGATCTTGCCTGGTTGCAAGGAGTTCGAAAAGTGCCACTGCAGCAGTCTAGTGTTGCTTGGCCAAAGAGCACCAGCTTTGCACTGGAGCTGAAGACTAATTGTTGCTGTACTCAGTACTCAGAATGCATTTCTATTTTGGACAGAACAACAGCAGGAACAGTTGAGCGCAGCTAAGGCATCATCAGCATCATCAAGACAAGTACATTCAGAGTCGGAGCCGCAGGTACAAGAGGCCTAGGAACTTTGTTTTTTTGTGTTGCAAATTCTCCGTTGAAGTAGGTATCCTAAACTCTGTTTCTTCTTTGTTCCGTCAGGCACAAAAGCGCGACTCCCAGAAGGCCTAAAGTTCAGTTTCTCCAGTGCGTGAAGAACCCCAATAACAGTGCATGTGCAGGATGCCTGCGATTTCCTTGCCATGTTCCCTGCGACAGAAACCTTAACAAGAGAGGCGGGGTAAGCAGAAGTGGACAGAGAACCTTGCTTTACATTTACACTGAATACGAGGCTGTAAAGGCAAGCGAGAGTGAGCCAGCCACCTGCTCAGCATTCAAAATTTAGGACATCAACACGCTTGTGGTACACATGACGATGAGAGCAAGTATCCAGTTCAATGTTTACGAAAAATCAAATCAGGCATCAAGGTGCTTGCTTGAGTAAACAGGCTCACCTCGGAGCAGATTCGGTTGAAAGTAAAATCCGGATATAAATTTCCATCTGGCATTTTTGAAGGTGATGAGTCTCTTTTGAACGATCTCTTTTGGAGCTTCTCCACGTGGGGTCGCGGATGACTTTTTTCCCCACCTCCGTCTGCCAGGTCTAGTCTCATGCTTTCCATTGGTTAACTAGAGCATGTATATACTACGAATTGAAGGAAAATCAACGCAGAGAGCCCATCTAACTCTAGACTCTAGACTTGAGAATCTTGAAACATGATGACTATGAAGTTGCAGCCATGAATGCAGGCATTGACCCCATTGCAATCATGTGTGAGCACGCACAGACCCTTGAATCTCTCTTTGCACACTCTCTACGGTCCTGGGGAACTGACTTGACTGCCTACTGCCTATCCTTTGAATTGTTTGAGCGATTTCTAACAGTATCCAAGGTAGAAGGAGCCAGTCTCAACAACCTTTCGGCAAACTAGGGTTGAGGTCAGTTTCGAATGCAAACAGTGCCTGACAACTGACGCCAAGAGGCACATGTGAGATGTAGACCCAAGAGACGTCACTCTTCTGCTCAGGAGCAAAAACCGGTGCTTTGTCAGCGCAAAGTTCCTTACTCAGCAAGCACCGGCTTGACGGATAACCAGTTACAAAACGATCCACAGTGTAGACCAGTGTGTGTGTGTGTGCCCCTTGTAGTCACAGGGATCCTGTCGGATTGTACCATTTTTCTCGTTTTTCAGCACGGGGACTGCCTGACTTGTAACAGTGGCAGTCCAACGAAGAGGCTGTTACGAGTCACTGATATGGATTCTGGACGCAGAATCCACGTACCTGCTTCGTGATGACTTCACATTTCCCAATAGTCCCTGCTTTTAGCTACAACAAGATTCTGGCCTTTGCACCGGTTTGCTCTCGGCAGTCACGCATAGGGCTTTGGTTTTGACTTGCAGATGTGAGCGGACGACGTCATTCTGTCGGTCGATCGTTCGACGGTTCCTTTAGAGTTGATGGCCACGCTGAACTTGATGGACCTCTTCTTCCTTTTTAGGTTTCCTTACCTGTACCCTTAGGAAATGGAACGCTAGGCCGGCGTGTGGCACCGCTGTCAAGTCAGTACGCATATCCATAAGTGTGTGGTGTTTTTGGAAGAATGCATTGTTTCATGGTGTTTCTACGAGCCTGCCAGCACGTAGAGAGAGAGAGGGAGAGAGAGAAACAAAAAGTCCACGCCCAGGGTTCCTTGTCCTTGCTGGCAGAGTCATCCAAGGCCGTGTTACTGCCTGTATTCAAGTCATTTGATATCTCCCAGCTACTGCTACTCCACAGATGAGTCACCTAGCCTCTTGGCCACAGGGGAGTGAAGGACCAGATATGCAGTCGTCCGACAAGCAGGCAGGTTGGACTGGAATCAAGCACGCCAGAGACTAGCAGAGATGTACGCATTGACATTGTTGCGAATCTTCTTGGTTGGCATTGTTTTGATTACATTTACACATAAGTTCAGATTTTGTGTAGCGCGATTCTTTTCCATCGGCAGTGGCTAAGCTCTCGTGAACCATAGGACCATACGGTTTACGGAGCTTGTTTGTGGGCTCAACGGTCCATGTCTCCATGGTTTTTCCCTTTTCGGTGGCAACATGTGTGATGGTCCTTTGCTCTATCCTTTGGTTCACTTGGCATGTCCAAAGTTGAGGTTTACTGTAAGCAGCCCGTGTCTGATTACGTCTGGTTACTGGTTCTTAAAGAAGAACCTATAAGCAATGGCCTCCAACCCAAGAGCGATGGCCTCCAACCTACTAGCAATGGCCTCCAATCTACTAGCGAGTGCTTTTTGATTTTCCTATCCTCTATCCTGGGTTAGACATGACATCAAAAAAAGGACCTATGTTCCTTGAAGCAAGGGAGCTTGGTACTGTCAGCTCTTGACGCGTGCTCCAACGCGGAGAGGAGCCGGTTGATGCCGGCACGTGGCTGCCTCTTTTGACTGGAGAAGGCAGTCACTTGCAAACATTTGCAGAAGGATTGGCTTGACAACCTTGAGATGACATGCGCATCGACTTGTGATTCTCCGACATGTCCATCGGACTGCCAGTCTCCTACTTCTTTCCTTTGCTGCAAGGGCATCTTTGCGAAAATTGCGGTGCAGTTGATCACCTCGCCGGGGGTCTTCAAACTCAGGTCAAAAGCCTTTACAGGGAAGTCTTCCCAAGAAGGGCAAACTGCCTCAAGGCATAGAAGATGACCCTGGGGCAAGTTATCTCCTGCACAAGCAAAAAGCCACAGCTGTGCTGTCTGTCCTTTCATAGGTGATAGCAAAAACTCGGACGGAGTAGCCCTCGCCAGGCATACTGCCTCCGGGACGCTGAAGTCTGGTGGGCGGGGGTAGCGCAAGCAAGGTTCTCCTCCAGGTTGGATCTCACTCCGGTGCTTTTCTCCATCGCTTGCAAAGTAAAGGCACGAGGAAAATCGCAGTGCTGAAGGGTCACCGCCAACGAAGTCCTGAGAAATAGCGTTCCAGAGTGAGCCAATTTCTGGCAACAAAAAATGGCTGCGGCTATGGGTCAGGCTTGCGTATGAATTGATTGAACATGGACATGACTGCTTGAAAGATCGTTTGTTGAGGTAAGCTGGAACCAGACGTGTTTTCACGTGGAACAGACCTGCTTGCAGCACTTCATCGAACAATCTCTTGTTGGAGTGGGCTGCTAAGAGAATAGATCACAAACTTATCGCGCTTTTTGGCTATCGGCACGATGATGCGTATAGGCATAAACTCTCGGGTCTACAAGTCACTGGCGAGTTGTCTCACAGAGCAACAACATCAACTCTGGAAAGCATCAGCACTGTCCTTCCATCTGATTGTTTTCCTCACCTGAAGATGCCAACAAGTGAGATGTAGACCTGAGAGTCGTCGCTGTGCTCAGGAGACAAAACCCGTGCTTTGTCAGCACAAAGTTCCTCGGGCAGCAAGGGACATACACTGTGTTGAACGAGGACCAAACACCAAAAGACCTGCAGAGTAGAGTGTGTTGAAAATAGTGTGTTGATGTGTGTTGAATATTTGAAGAACAAACTGTTTCACTTTGTTTCCAAGAGCCCAAGAGCCTGCTGCTGACGTGCAGAGGGAAACCTGCCTGCCCAGGGTTCCATGTCCCTGCTGCCGGAGTCATCCAAGGCCTTCTTACCTACTAGTAATATTCAAGTCATTTAGTGTTGCTTGGCCACTGTACGAACGAGCCACTCAGCCTCTTTCTTGGCCACAGGCGAGTGAAGGAACAGATTGGCAATCGGATAAGCAGGCAGATCGGAATGAAATTGAATATAGAAGCTTGAGACTATCGCAGATTTCTAATTGACGTTGTCATTGATCACAAGCTACACATCAGATTCATTATTTATGGACATGAGCGCGTTTGAAAGACTGTTTATTGAGGTCGACTGGAACAGGCGTGTTTGTATACGAACAATTTCTTGTTGGAGTGGGCTGCTACGAGAATCTGTTTGAGGACAACCAACACAGCAAAGATTGCGGACAAATCACAAACTTATCGCGCTTTTTGGCTATCGGCACAATGATGCGCACTGGCGAGTTGTCTCACAGAGCAACAACATCAACTCTGGAAAGCATCAGCACTGTCCTTCCATCTGATTGTTTTCCTCACCTGAAGATGCCAACAAGTGAGATGCAGTCCTGAGAGTCGTCGCTGTGCTCAGGAGACAAAACCCGTGCTTTGTCAGCACAAAGTTCCTCGGGCAGCAAGGGACATACACTGTGTTGAACGAGGACCAAACACAAAAAGACCTGCAGAGTAGAGTGTGTTGAAAATAGTGCGTTGATGTGTGTTGCATATTGTTTGAAGAACCATCCAAGACCCTGTTACGTCTTGGGGCCATTTTCCACTACCATAATTGTTGGAGGGGGAGCAGCTACGCTACAAATGAGTCACTTATTGTATATAGCCTCTTACTTGGCCACAGGTGAGTGAAGGAACAGATTTGCAGTCGGAAAAGCAGGCAGGTTGGGTGCCAAGCTGGGGGAGGATACTAGGCACGTCGCTTGCAGAGACTCCTGAAAAGCAAAAGGAAGAGGTCGAACATGAGATAAATATGGCACATCATGGAGCTATGAATGCATGGAGATGTATGAAGAGCTAGAAACTGGGCGAAACAAGCCGGGCAATGCTGACTATCCCTCCTCCTGGGCCACATTCACATGAACCCGTTTGGTGGGAACCGCTCCCGCTGGAAAGCTTTTTCAATGAGGGAGGCCAGGAGAAGAAACTCTGCCAAAGGCAATTCTGCCTTCCAGTTTTCTATTGTGAGTTGCGCTGGTGTCACCTTCGCACATACCTATAGCCTCCGCATATCCCACAGCGGTCGCATCTTTGGACGGTGCTCGGCTGAACTGATGTAACGAAGACACGAAGAAGGGTAACCCATGTCCTTGCCCAATCAATTCTGAGGTGAATTCTCGAAAGGATTCAAAACGTGATTCCAACGACCCCGGAGGGCCAAAGCTTGACATAATGCGCTGCAGCAGGGCCACTTGACGTGAGTTTGCTCTCATCAACGTGAGGCCTCCAGATCGAAAGTGGATTCTAGACAGGACAAGTCATGGTTTGCCCACTGAACAACTTCCTTGAGCGACTCATATTTTCATGGAAGGAAGGAAGCCACAAGTTTGGCTCTCGTGCCGCAGGATGCTTCAAGGTCGCACTCACGGAGAAGGAGAAGGCGATCACGCAAGGCTCGTGGCATGTCCTGCTTGTCCTTTGACTGACTAGAATTGTGTCTTTGGCAGTGTGCGGAGGGGTGTTGCCAATCCGTATGTTTGTTTCCCCACCTGTCTGTCAGGTGAGGGTTGTTAGATTTTATGTCAGCTGCCTTGCTGCTCCTCCTCCTCCTCCTCCTCCTCCACTCCTCTCCTCCTCGCCTCCTCAACCGCGAGTGTCAGATGCCAGTGTTCCCCGCCGGACCTCAATTGCGAGCTCCGGATGGCAGTGTTGCCCGCAGGACCTCAATTGCGAGCTCCGGATTAGCAGTGTTCCCCGCCGGACCTCAATTGCGAGCTCCGGATGGCAGTGTTCCCCGCCGGACCTCAATTGCGAGCTCCGGATGGCAGTGTTCCCCGCCGGACCTCAATTGCGAGCTCCGGATGGCAGTGTTCGCCCCCGGACCTCAATCGCCAGCTCCGGATGGCAGTGTTCCCCGCCGGACCTCCACCACAAACACACAATCACAAATATACAGCCACAAGCACGACAGCAAGCGCAACAAACACAGCATCACAAGCACACAGCCACAAAGACAAAACCACATCCACAAGCACACAATCACACAATCACAAGCACAAGCACACAATCACAAACACAGCCACAAGACACAACAACAAACACACAGCCACAAACACAATCACAAGCACGCACTCACAAACACAGTCACAATACACAACCACGAAGACACATCCACAGCACACAACCACAGAACACAACCACGGCACACAACCACAACACACAACCCGAGGACCCACAAGCAAAGTCGAGAACCACAAAACTCACAAACCATGGCAACATTATCCTCACCATGGCATGGAGACAAATGGTTGAAATGTCAGGGTGGGGGTTACTCAAAGTAAAGTAATTTCTTATTTTTAGGGTGTCCAGTTATGTGGGGCTGGATGTTCGACTTAGGCGAAGCATGCCCCCGAAGCAAACCCCATAGTCCAACATCCCGGCCCGAACGTCAAAAATAGACAAGCCCGCGTCACTATAGGAGCAAACGACCCGATCGAGGTCCCAGCGAAAGGAGCGTGCATGATTACGCATTATGCGTTGTCAGCTCCACACTTGCTCCCTTTTATTGCGTTGCAGGACAAAGAGGAGGAACAACTTAAGGCAGCAAAACCATTAGACCACACGACTGGCGAGCAATGATTATCACTTTAGCAGCTCTGCCCTTTGCTGAAACCACTACCTGGAGCACTCAGGCAATGCACGCTGCAAGGATGAAGGCTTTGGAAGAAGAGGCTGCTGCAATGCAGGTGCTTTCCATGGCTGTCCTGTGAGCGAGTGTTGGACAAACTCACTGAGCTGGGAATGCAGGCCACTCGCTTAAAGGCGCTGGAGGAGGAGCATGCTGCAGCCATGCAGGCCAGACTCGCAAAAATCAGGAGTCCAGAAGCATTCTTCGCCTTCTCCGGATGCTGAATGCAGGCGGCGAGGATTAAGGCACTTCAAGAAGAGCAGGTGGGGCTGCACGAGGATCACCATTTTTGGGTGTAAGGTATAAGAATTGATCCCGACAAAGGCTGCAAAGAGAAAGGCTTTGGAAGAGGCGCAGGCTCAGCAGATCTGAGGCTTTGTCGGCTGCCTCACGGTCGTGGGCAGATGACGCTCTTGCTCAGGCCGCACGAATGCAGCTTGAGGCAGAGGAGGCAGCGCTCTAATTGTTGGAAGCAACATCTAGCAGAGAAGTGCATCCTGCAGCAATGCATCGGTTTGTTTGCAGCAGTCTTCACATGCCCTTGTTTCCTGATTGGCGCAGGCGGCTATCCGAAAAGCGGAAGAGCTAAAACAAAATGCAGCTGCTGCAGCTGCTTTGCAGGCAGGGTTGTGGACAGTACCCGTTCTACTTTTCTTGCTTTCTGGCCACGCCGACCCAAACGCGCAAACATGGTTTGGAGAAGTAAACACGGAGAAGTGAACAGCCTTTGTTGCTCTGTTGGTTTGTTTGTCACTGCCCGTATCCAGGAATTTGTTTACCAGACTTGCAGAGTCATTGCATGGGGACATGGCGAGCAATCAGGGACAGGGACCATGTCCAACAAAGCTACATATTGCACGGGACAAGAGAGCCGATCACTATCGACATACCTGCTGTTAGAATCCGTTTTCAACACTCTGCGGCGCGGAATCAAGGTCTTTCTTTGCTTGGCCTTTTCAATTTTGCAGGGCCATTTCTGAGGTTTGAGGCCTGTAGAGTGGTACTGCGTCTTCTGTCTTTTTCTCACCTTAACTAGACTGTCAACAGCTTACGAGATTCAGAGCCAGATTGAAGAAGGACAATAGGGTGCATCCATCTTAAGAGTGTGTGTTTGGGTTGAAAGTGCAGTGAAGGCAGCGAAGACAAAAGCCATGCAGGTGGCCCAGGCCGAGCAGGCACTTGCGATAGTGATAGCGGAAACTCTCATTGTTCGCTGGTACCCAGTCAGAATAGAACTAGAGGACGGTTGGCGCATGTAATTGTCCAGCACTGTCGAAAAGATGTATAGAAAGAGAGAAAGAGGGGGTGGATGTGAAGGAGTGACAGTGAGGATGTGCAGGTGTGATATAGATCTGTAGTGGGTGTACAGATGTGATATAGATGTGCAGATGTGTGGGTGTGGTGAGGTGGAGAGGTAGATGTGCGGATGTGAGCGTGTGAAGATGTAAATGTAGAGAGGTGAGGGGGTGTAGACGTAGATGCGTCGATGCAACGGCAGCGCAACGTCAACCTTAGTTGCGCAAGCGCAACGCTGAAGAGGTTCAAATAGAACTGAAGAACGTACATCTCACACTCAAGTTTCCACGAACAGGGCGACCTGAGAGTAAACGACGTTACGACCAATGCAAGTGACTCGTGTATTCCAAGCGAACATCGCTTGTCTTAAGGTGAAGTTACTAACGTCACGATGACTCTTTTGTGGCAGCCACTTATGAGTAAGCAAAGTAGCTAAAATTTGCAAACCTCTCACAAAGTCGCCAGTTCTCATCTTCCAGCTCCCCCGATACTCCGCGTACTAAAGTTGTACTACAAAGTCGCCAGTTCTCAACGCGCGATCCCCGCACCGGGCCAAAACGCACTCTCCCTTGCATTTCGCGCGCTCGACACGCACGATCTCCGCAGAGGGTTGCCCCGCACCGGGTCAAATCGCACTCTCGCCTGCGTTTTGCGCGCTCGACACGCACGATCCCCGCAGAGGGTTGCCCCGGACCGGGACAAATCGCGCTCTCGCCTGCATTTCGCGCACTCGACGCGCGCGATCCCCGCAGAGGGTTGCCCGCGACCGGGACAATCGCGCTCTCGCCTGCATTTCGCGCGCTCAACACGCACGATCTCCGCAGAGGATTGCCCGCGACCGGGACAGATCGCACTATCGCCTGCATTTCGCGCACTCGACACGCACGATCTCCGCAGAGGGTTGCGACGGACAGAGACAAATCGCACTCTCGCCTGCGTTTCGTTCGCTCGACACGCACGATCTCCGCAGAGGGTTGCCCGCGACCGGGACAAATCGCACTCTCGCCTGCATTTCGCGCACTCGACGCGCGATCTCCGCAGAGGGCTGCGACGGACAGAGACAAATCGCACTCTCACCTGCATTTCGTGCGCTCGACACGCACGATCTCCGCAAAGGGTTGCCCGCGACCGGGACAAATCGCACTCTCGCCTGCATTGCGCGCACTCGACGCGCACGATCTGCGCAGAGGGTTGCCCGCGACCGGGACAAATCGCACTCTCGCCTGCATTTCGCCCATCCGACACGCGCGATCTCCGCAGAGGGTTGCGTTTCGTGGCGGTCCGGCGGCGCTGCCCCGGCCTCAAGAGAGACAATTAAGAAGAGCGAGAGGTGAAGATGTGAGATGTAGATGTGAGGATGTGAAGATGAGCAGAGATGTAGATGTGCAGATGTGAACATGAGCAGAGATGTAGATGTGTGAAGATGAAGACGAGCAGAGATGTTGATGTGAGGATGTGAAGATGTGCAGAGATGTAGATGTGCAGTTGTGGGTGTAGATGTGAAGATGAGCAGAGATATAGGTGAGAATGTGGATGTGCAGAGGTGAAGATGTGAAGATGTAGATGAGAGGTAGTTCTGCAGATGTTTTTTACGAAGAACCCTTCGCAGGCGCTCTCGGGAAAAACACCTCCTCCAGGAATCCCGCTACATTTGATGATGATGAACATGTAACATAGCGGTCAAGCGCTCACCGATCATACCAATCCGCAAGACTTGTGCAGGCGACAAGGGCTTATGCACAAGTCCCTCAGGCTTGGAGCCGAATCGAAAGGCCAATTGGGTTACCAGTTTGCGCGCGTCAATTGGAGGATCCGCCTGCACTACTGATGCATCCAAAGGACCGCTTGGTTTCATTTACCTTGGCATTTAACGGATCTACAATTATTCCCTTGTTAGGGCTCCATGTCACTCGTTGCAGAGCCAGAGGCTGGGTGTGTGGTATTTTCATGCTATATAGCAGGGAGTATAGGGAGTCAGAATCCAGGCTCCCAAGGCTCCACAGCAGGAAGCCTGCCAGGTGGGACAGAAGCAAAGTTTGGTGATGGGGACTTCGCAGTTTGCAGTGTGACAGTGGTTTGGTGACCACATTGGCCACCAGGATGGCTGGACTGCATCAGCAATTGAATGCTTGGGAAACAACTAAACAAAGATTGAGGAAGGGATAGTTCCCCCAGTTTTGTCCAAACAAAATTGAGGGGGGGGAGGGTGAGCACCTCCCCCCCCCCCCCTCAAGAAAAAGGGGGGGGGGGGAGGCCCCCCCCCCCCCCCCCCTTTGACTCAATTCGACTTTTCCCGACTTTCGACGACATAGGCTAACCTTCAAGAGCCCCATCGGCAACTTTTCCGACAATAGACGACGACACGCGATGCCTGACGACTTTTGGTGCGTTTTTGGGAGAGTCCGGGATTTGACATTGCAATTTCGAGGTCTTTACCAAAAAGTTGTTCACAAGAGACCTGTGCAGGAGGACTGTGTTGTTATTAGTTTGTTTCCAGCTCTGTTCTCCTATCTTTTTTGGGGTCACCCTCCCCCCCCCTTCGACTGAAAGGGTGGGAACGTGATCATTCGTTCAGGGAGACGACACAAGGTTCACTCGGTCGTATTCTTTGTGTGACTCCGCAGTGTTGAGAGCTCTGATCGCGGGCTCGCGCAGCGCGGGTGAAACATCCATGCACTTCGGCGCAGTGGCGTTCTTTTGCCTGCAGGAGGCAAGCGTGGTTGAAGACTTGTCGAGTCAAGTGGACGTTTTGCGACGTTGTTGGTGATTGTCGACTTTTTCTGACTTTTGACGACGTGAGTGCCATCGGTAACTGTCCCGACAAGACACGACAACCGACGACGTTTGACGACTTTTGGTGCACTTTTGTGGGAGAGTCCGGGATTCAACATTACAATTTCGAGGTTTTTAGGAACAAGTTGTTCACTCTTTTCTGCGGGCTGTCGTTTCCTGTTTCCTTTTCTGCTTGTTTCCTTGACTTTCGTGACGGGTGTGTGAGGGTAGCCAGCGGCAACTTTTGGCGACTCCTGACGCTCCTGGACGACTTTCGTGTGGGTTGCTCATCATCCCTTGGCCCTTGTTCTTGTTGTTTTTTCTTTTGTTCTTTCGTTTTGCCTTCTTGTCCTGTCGCTTTTGCTGAGGAGTGGCAACAGCTTGTTGGCAGTGTCTTTGTTGTGTTCTTCTTGTCCTTCTTGTACTTCTGTCATGCTGCTTGCTTGTCAGGCGCTGGCACGACCCCACTGCAGAGGGTGCGGCACAGTGCCTTGAAGGCATGATGGAGCAGGGCCTGCTAGGGTGAAGCAGTTAATTTTGTAAAGCTGTTATCATTGCAATGCAAGGTCCAGAAGCACAGAAAGTGTACGACATAAATTTGAGTTTGCTTGAAATTCTCGTGGGGTTGGTCACAAAGTCACAAAAGGTATGGATCCTTGGGTTGGGTCACGCTTGCGAGCGTAGCGATGTAGCGCAACTATTGTTGCTATGTCCTGACACCCATGTGGATAGCTCATCCCGCTGCAGCTTGCAGTTTGCAAAGATTGTTACACAGCAATCTGTGACTGAGGGATGGCTGAGGCAGCAGATGGGAGAGAATCAGCTTGAATTGGTGCGAGTCACCTGTAAGAACCAACGGTATATGCACCAGGTCCTATATTTTGGTTGGGGCCTGTCCGAAAAGGTATGTGGATTCTGGATGGGTTCTTTCATCTCTCTTCTTCTAAGCTTTAACTTGGGGTTGCTCACAAAAGGTATGCCAGGACTCGGCGTGAAATGTTGTTTGTTGACACAGATGTTGGGTTCAAAAGCTGGAGGGGGTTGGGGGGGTGCCTGGAACATTTGCTTTGTGTTGGTCACAAAAGGTTTAAAGCTGAAAAAACAAAGTGCTAGTAAGAAGCAACAAAAGGTATAACTAGCACATGGCTTTGCATAATGGCATTGTGTTGGTCACAAAAGGGGATATGTTTAGTTTGAAAAGCCACCTAGGAGCAAATTGTATGTAAGACGCACAGAAAGGTATACATAGCACCCTGTTTTGCATATTTACATAG